TTTGTAAGAAGGTAACAAGATATCTTCTAATAATGCACAGCATGGTTGAAGGAAGTGCTTCCTTTTCCTCTGGGAGAAGGTCTAAACCATCATCTCACTGCCTTCCATAAGCAGTATCATCTGGCTTATTATTTCTCTTTTGTAGATGCCAGAGGATGTGTCCAAGAGAAAACTCTCCAACCAGATGTGGTCATACAACAATCCTTTTTCCTCCATTTCTCCATCCCTGTTAGGATTTTGGGTGTGCACACACATGTGTCGGGCACCCTTTTTTGAGCCACTGGGGCTGGGACTCCAACCATGATCAACCATGTGGGATCTGACTCACTATGCACAAGACTTAACCACTTCACTGAAAGGCTGGTCCAAGTTTTCTTCTTTTCATGCCCCCTAAGTGCTGCTTAGTTTTGAAGATAATGAATTCCATCTATTCAAGGGAGGCTATTTCTGGTAGTCCTGTGTGGCAGTACAAAGACTCCGTAAGAATATTGCATTGGTTCGATTGTGCCCACTACTGGACTCCAGTAGTATTGTTCACTTACTAGATGATGCAAATGCCATCCCATGATCCCAAGGCCATTTTCATAGACCATAATTGGATGTTGAATTGGGCAGTGTGGTAATATCAACATCAGGACACACCGTGTGGAGGCCTAGCTATAGATGTCAGAAAAGGAAAAAAAGGGACCAGATAATGGCATGGTGGTTGGGGACACTGGATCCCGTATGGCTGACTACATGGTTTGAATCTCAGACCCGGTGTCTGGATGCTTGTGTTTGTGTGCCCAGAATCCTGAAGGGAGAGTAGAAGAAAGGAGATTGTGGTGTGGCTATGCCCATGGGAGGTGGGGGTCGGGGAGGCTTTCTTGCTTTCCCTCTCTCTCCCACTCTCTGTTTCTCTCTGGCAAGCGCACACCCTCTTGTAAATTGAGAGAAAAAGAAATGGAAAAAAGAAAATCTTGTCTAGAGGAAATAGAGCTCAGCACTTATTCTTCCAGAATTCTTGCTTCCCCCCGAGGGAGAAGTCTTAGGTTGGTCAACCTGAAGGCCAGTGCTGACCTGGGATTCTCATGGTTGTGTGTTCTTTGCACATGTATGAATCACTGGCTTAGAGTCCATTCAGCTGTTAAGGCAGGATGAATGTGAAAAATATTATACTGCCAAACAGACTGTTGGATTCTTTGGAGATATTTGTATGACAACTATGATCCAAATTTTCATATCTGGCATGGCAATAGACTGTAAGGATAACTAGCGTTTTAGATATGTTGAAAACAGCATTGGTTAGACATCAAGCTATTCCAGAGTTCCAACTCCGTTCATCTGCTGTGTACGCCGTGCTGTTCTGCTTTGCTTGCACAAACCAAACTGTAACACAATATTTCAGCTTGTCGTGTGTGTGGTTTTCCAGAACTTGTGGGCAAGAAAAAGAAAACAGAGTAGGTAGGAGGCAGGATCATATAACACACAATTTATAAACCATGCCCAAGACTATTTATGTAAAGATTACCCCCCCATTCCTGCCCCTTCCCTCACCACAGAAGAAAATTTTTAACTTTTAAATTTGTTCCTTCTCAATTTTTAAGCATTTTAAACCTATTTTCTCTCCAATGTGTCGCTCAGGGAATGAACTTTTATGTGCCTCGAAGGACCCTCTTGGTAAGTTTCATGGAAGTGGAATCATTCTAAAACGTGGAGACCAGGGTGCTGTTTTCTCCATTGGTGGCTCAGTGGGGGTGATCGCAGCTCACTGTGATGGTAGGAACGGAAGCGGAAGTGGTGTGGTTAGTGCTAGGACTCTGCGCACTTGCTTAGGACATGTGACTCTAGGGCTATGCCTGGTGTCAAACAAGGTTCCTTCCCGTGGGAAGACAACGGTGTTTCTCTGATCTCTACACTCTGTTTACCGCAAGTCTTCTGCCCTGAACCCACCCAAGAAATTTATGCAGAGCCAAAGTGACCTCAAGTCCAGCCCTGGAAACTTGAGAGTCCCCAACATCCTTAGCCCCGTAAGTGCTGATTTCTAACGTAGACTTTCTCCTGGAATTCTCTCTTGACTTTCATTTCCAGTGATTTCTGAGACTGACTTGAGACTTCCTTCTGATCTACCTTATTGATCAGCTTCTCTGACAGACTCACGTATGATATTCAGGATAGCATTCTTAATCTCCACATTTAAAAATCTATAACATTAATCCATGTAGGAGACAGAAAAGATCCTGGATTCTAATATGTTAATGTGCCTTGTCTATCCAGGAAGGGTAGAAGAGACACTTTTCTCAAACTTATTTAATCATAGACCCTCCCATTTTGCCAAGTACTTATTAATATCTTTCAAATACAGTTGTTTGGGACCAGCAGGTGGTATAATGGTTATGTCACTGGACTCCCACATAGCCAGCCATGGTTTGAGTCCTGGACCCAGCAGCTTCAAATTCACACTGGGTGTGTGTGCGTGCATGCCCAAGATCCTGAGAGAAGAATGGAAGAGATGGGATTGCAGCATGGCTACTCCCTCCAGGGTGGGGGGAGTGATTTTTCACTTTCTGTCTCTCTGTTTCTCTCTGTCTCTCTGATGAGCACATATGCCCTATAGCAAAAAATCTCAAAAGCAAACAAACAAAAACTATCTTTCACTAAATCAAGATTAGGAAAATGCTAACTTTGGGCAGTGTGGTAATATCAACATCAGGACACACCGTGTGGAGGCCTAGCTATAGATGTCAGAAAAGGAAAAAAAGGGACCAGATAATGGCATGGTGGTTGGGGACACTGGATCCCGTATGGCTGACTACATGGTTTGAATCTCAGACCCGGTGTCTGGATGCTTGTGTTTGTGTGCCCAGAATCCTGAAGGGAGAGTAGAAGAAAGGAGATTGTGGTGTGGCTATGCCCATGGGAGGTGGGGGTCGGGGAGGCTTTCTTGCTTTCCCTCTCTCTCCCACTCTCTGTTTCTCTCTGGCAAGCGCACACCCTCTTGTAAATTGAGAGAAAAAGAAATGGAAAAAAGAAAATCTTGTCTAGAGGAAATAGAGCTCAGCACTTATTCTTCCAGAATTCTTGCTTCCCCCCGAGGGAGAAGTCTTAGGTTGGTCAACCTGAAGGCCAGTGCTGACCTGGGATTCTCATGGTTGTGTGTTCTTTGCACATGTATGAATCACTGGCTTAGAGTCCATTCAGCTGTTAAGGCAGGATGAATGTGAAAAATATTATACTGCCAAACAGACTGTTGGATTCTTTGGAGATATTTGTATGACAACTATGATCCAAATTTTCATATCTGGCATGGCAATAGACTGTAAGGATAACTAGCGTTTTAGATATGTTGAAAACAGCATTGGTTAGACATCAAGCTATTCCAGAGTTCCAACTCCGTTCATCTGCTGTGTACGCCGTGCTGTTCTGCTTTGCTTGCACAAACCAAACTGTAACACAATATTTCAGCTTGTCGTGTGTGTGGTTTTCCAGAACTTGTGGGCAAGAAAAAGAAAACAGAGTAGGTAGGAGGCAGGATCATATAACACACAATTTATAAACCATGCCCAAGACTATTTATGTAAAGATTACCCCCCCATTCCTGCCCCTTCCCTCACCACAGAAGAAAATTTTTAACTTTTAAATTTGTTCCTTCTCAATTTTTAAGCATTTTAAACCTATTTTCTCTCCAATGTGTCGCTCAGGGAATGAACTTTTATGTGCCTCGAAGGACCCTCTTGGTAAGTTTCATGGAAGTGGAATCATTCTAAAACGTGGAGACCAGGGTGCTGTTTTCTCCATTGGTGGCTCAGTGGGGGTGATCGCAGCTCACTGTGATGGTAGGAACGGAAGCGGAAGTGGTGTGGTTAGTGCTAGGACTCTGCGCACTTGCTTAGGACATGTGACTCTAGGGCTATGCCTGGTGTCAAACAAGGTTCCTTCCCATGGGAAGACAACGGTGTTTCTCTGATCTCTACACTCTGTTTACCGCAAGTCTTCTGCCCTGAACCCACCCAAGAAATTTATGCAGAGCCAAAGTGACCTCAAGTCCAGCCCTGGAAACTTGAGAGTCCCCAACATCCTTAGCCCCGTAAGTGCTGATTTCTAACGTAGACTTTCTCCTGGAATTCTCTCTTGACTTTCATTTCCAGTGATTTCTGAGACTGACTTGAGACTTCCTTCTGATCTACCTTATTGATCAGCTTCTCTGACAGACTCACGTATGATATTCAGGATAGCATTCTTAATCTCCACATTTAAAAATCTATAACATTAATCCATGTAGGAGACAGAAAAGATCCTGGATTCTAATATGTTAATGTGCCTTGTCTATCCAGGAAGGGTAGAAGAGACACTTTTCTCAAACTTATTTAATCATAGACCCTCCCATTTTGCCAAGTACTTATTAATATCTTTCAAATACAGTTGTTTGGGACCAGCAGGTGGTATAATGGTTATGTCACTGGACTCCCACATAGCCAGCCATGGTTTGAGTCCTGGACCCAGCAGCTTCAAATTCACACTGGGTGTGTGTGCGTGCATGCCCAAGATCCTGAGAGAAGAATGGAAGAGATGGGATTGCAGCATGGCTACTCCCTCCAGGGTGGGGGGAGTGATTTTTCACTTTCTGTCTCTCTGTTTCTCTCTGTCTCTCTGATGAGCACATATGCCCTATAGCAAAAAATCTCAAAAGCAAACAAACAAAAACTATCTTTCACTAAATCAAGATTAGGAAAATGCTAACTTTTTCATAGTTTCTCCATTGTCCATTGATGTAAGAAATGAAATCTCAACCCCCTGAGGACTTTCTTGCTTCTTAATTCAACTTTTCCATAATGCCTCTACCTGAAATTGCTTGCTCACAAAGAGGCTGGTGCTGGCAGTTACCAATGAGCATGCGGTAGTCTCACTAACTCTAGGAGACCCTGTTTCACCTCCACCGAGCCTTTAATTCACTTTAGGATCATTATTAGTCCTAGAAACAGGGAAGAACAATCGTATGGCCAAGAATGTGGGACACTTACTTGAGTGAGTCAAGAGCATCGCTGACTGCATTGGCAAAATTGATATCCGTTGGGACATTTTTATATTCTAGGCAGTAAGTAGGTCTGACACCAAGAATCTCAACCTCACAGCCTAAGAAAGAAAAAGGTGGCAAATGGAAGCAAACATCATTAGTCAGAAATATAATGATCATACATTTTCATGAACTAAAATATTAGTTATTACTCATAGTTGGCATTTTTAACTATATGTCTGCATAACTAGAGCAGAACTTCTCAAATATTATTTCTGTATAACACAGTGTCCCATGACAGGGAGAGACGAGCACAGGATAATGGCTATCTTCCCCAATTTGAAACAAAATAAAAATTAATTTATACCCAAATACCTTGGGACCAGCAGTTAGTGTAATGGCTATGTCGCTGGACTCCCACGTAGTCAACCGCAGTTCGAGTCCTGGACCCGGTGGCTTAAACTCACACCGGGCGTGTGTGCGTGCATGCCCAAGATCCCGAGAGGAGAATGGAGGAGAAGGGATTGCGGTGTGGCCATCCCCACGGGGGGTGATTTCTCGCTTTCTGTCTCTCTGTCTCTCTCTGTCTAGCGAGCGCACACGCCCTATAGCAAAAACCTCTCCCCCCCAAAAAAAAATACACAAATACCTCAATTAAACTTCTTTTCTAGAGATTTTTCATAACAGCCAAGTCTTCTAGTCTACCTTTGCCTATTCTAGAATCAGAAATTAGGTAGTATCCAATTAGTCAGCCATAGTAAAATAAACATTGCACTCTCCTGTGGTACTACACAAAGAGTAACTAGACTTAGAGGTATTCCACTGAAGTATCCAGCTAAAAATAATTGAGTTAAAGCAAGGATTCTGGGCCATGTCCTTGTTTCTACCATAACAAAGTAAACCAATAAAAGTCATTCATATGTGAGAAGCTGCTATGGCTTTAGCTCTTCTGCTTCAGACTTCTGGACAAACAGAAGTAGCTGCCCTGAGCAAAATGACATATTATCAGAATAGAGAGCAACCAACCCCTTCGTCCGGCAAGTGAAGAGTAGGTCTTGGCTTAAGTTAGCTGAATAAATATTTACTGAGAACCTACCATGAAATAGTCACTACATTCAGACTTAGTGGAAATAGAATGCGTCAGTTAGGGTCTGCACCCCAGAGTACCCAGAGTATCCTCCTCTGCTCTAGCAGGAGGAGACATGCAGGAAAACAGTTCAAGAATGAAGTCTGAAGGCAGGTGCACACTTCCTGGGTGGTGTGGAAACTCAAATGTGGGCATTTATTTTGGGTGTTTTCTGCTCCTGGAAGCCTTTCTCAATCCCCACATTGAGCACAATTTTTGGCACTGATTGACTGCCAAGGCTGGAGGGGCTGCAGTAGGGATGGGAGGGGCATCCCAGGCAGAGAGCAGCATGAGGGGAAGTTCAGAGAATTTTTTTTTTTTAAAGTTTTTGCTATAGGGAGAGCTTGCTGGAGAGACAGAGAGATAGAGAGACTGAAAGCAAGAAACCACACACACGTGGGACCAGCAGTTGGCATAATAGCTATGTCGCTGGACTCCCATGTAGTCGACTGTGGTTCGAGTCCCAGACCTAGTGGCTTAAACTCACACCAGTGCATATGCATGCTTGCCCAAGATCCTGAGAGGAGAATGGAGGAGAAGGGATTGCGGTGTGGCCATCCCCCTTGGGGGTGATTTATCGCTTTCTGTCTCTCTGTCTCTCTCTGTCTTTCTGGTGAAAAGCAAGCCGCCATGTCCAGGACCTGAACTGTGCTTAGCCATGTGGGAATCCAGTGCCTTTAACCACCACACCACCTGCCAGGCCCTTGAATAGGTTTTTGAGGAGTTAGAATAGGAGATGTTTATTCCTTGCCCCAAACACCGCTGCTACCACAAGCTGCTTGTACATGTCATGTAACTTACTGTTCGGTGAGCAAGGTGTGAAAGTTAGTAAGAAAGTTAAGCATGTATGTGTCTTGGTTGTGTTTACCAGCTGAGGGACTTTGGACAAGTGAGTCTTAACTTCGTTCATTCTTAACCTTTTCAGCTGTAAGACAGGAGTGGAATGTTACCTATGGCAGAGGCTTGTTTTGAAAATCAAAGAATACTGCATATGAGCTGGCATAGTACCAGGAACATAAATGATACTCGATAAACATCAATATGTCAATTATAGGGTTTTTTAACTTGGAAAATGCTACAATGAATTTCTTTTTAAATATACTGTTATCAGTTTTCAGTTACATTTGTTTTATAAACTAGAATTTTTTTTCTTAAAGAATATTTGTCTTACTTTGCATAATGGATGCCATTTGGTTTTTCTTTTTCTTTTTCTTTCGTAAGAAAACCTAAACCTAACAGCAACAGAGGATAGAAATAAAAGTACCTAGGAGACCAGTAGATGGTGTAATGGTTACGTCGCTGGACTCCCATGTAGTCAACTGTGGTTCAATTCCTGGACCTGGGGGCTTAAAACTCATACCAAGTGCACGTACATGTATGTCTAAGATCCTGAGAAGAGAATAAAGGAGAAAGGATTGAGGCATGGCCATCCTCCCTGGGGTGGGGGGGGTGTGATTTCTCACTTTCTGTCTCTGTCTCTCTGGTGAGCGCATGGACCCTACAGCTAAAATCTCTCTTTAAACAAAAAAAAATACACAAATACCTCAATTAAACTTCTTTTCTAGAGATTTTTCATAACAGCCAAGTCTTCTAGTCTACCTTTGCCTATTCTAGAATCAGAAATTAGGTAGTATCCAATTAGTCAGCCATAGTAAAATAAACATTGCACTCTCCTGTGGTACTACACAAAGAGTAACTAGACTTAGAGGTATTCCACTGAAGTATCCAGCTAAAAATAATTGAGTTAAAGCAAGGATTCTGGGCCATGTCCTTGTTTCTACCATAACAAAGTAAACCAATAAAAGTCATTCATATGTGAGAAGCTGCTATGGCTTTAGCTCTTCTGCTTCAGACTTCTGGACAAACAGAAGTAGCTGCCCTGAGCAAAATGACATATTATCAGAATAGAGAGCAACCAACCCCTTCGTCCGGCAAGTGAAGAGTAGGTCTTGGCTTAAGTTAGCTGAATAAATATTTACTGAGAACCTACCATGAAATAGTCACTACATTCAGACTTAGTGGAAATAGAATGTGTCAGTTAGGGTCTGCACCCCAGAGTACCCAGAGTATCCTCCTCTGCTCTAGCAGGAGGAGACATGCAGGAAAACAGTTCAAGAATGAAGTCTGAAGGCAGGTGCACACTTCCTGGGTGGTGTGGAAACTCAAATGTGGGCATTTATTTTGGGTGTTTTCTGCTCCTGGAAGCCTTTCTCAATCCCCACATTGAGCACAATTTTTGGCACTGATTGACTGCCAAGGCTGGAGGGGCTGCAGTAGGGATGGGAGGGGCATCCCAGGCAGAGAGCAGCATGAGGGGAAGTTCAGAGAATTTTTTTTTTTTAAAGTTTTTGCTATAGGGAGAGCTTGCTGGAGAGACAGAGAGATAGAGAGACTGAAAGCAAGAAACCACACACACGTGGGACCAGCAGTTGCCATAATAGCTATGTCGCTGGACTCCCATGTAGTCGACTGTGGTTCGAGTCCCAGACCTAGTGGCTTAAACTCACACCAGTGCATATGCATGCTTGCCCAAGATCCTGAGAGGAGAATGGAGGAGAAGGGATTGCGGTGTGGCCATCCCCCTTGGGGGTGATTTATCGCTTTCTGTCTCTCTGTCTCTCTCTGTCTTTCTGGTGAGCTCACACATCCTATAGCAAAAACCTCTCAAAACACACACACACACACACACACACACACACACATACCACCCCAGGGAGGATGGTCACACCCTAATCCCTTCTCCTACAGTCTCCTCTTGGGATTTTGAGCATGCACACACATATGCCCAGAGTGAGTTTTAAGCCTCTGGGTACAGGACTCGAACCACAGTCAACCACATGGGAATCCAGCAATGTAACCATTACACCATCTGCTGGTCCCAGTTTAGAGAACTTTTTTAAACAATGATGTGTATGTCAAGAACTGTAAGTACAATGCCAAACAGGGGGTGTCAGGAGACCAGATGTGGCCCAGGACCATGTTTTCCAAGCTGGAAGTGAATAAAAGTGGGACAGGCAGGGGTTGTGGAAGGACAGAGTCTCTGTCAGGAGACACACTGACCCCACTCCTGGGGAATCTGGCAGCTGGTAACAGCTGTGTTAAAAGATGGTGGACAGCCTTTAGGAAGAGTCCATTCATCTGGCATGTAGTAGCAAGATCTGCCTGTGGGAGATCCCATCCCTCTTTTGGATAACTGAGTAAGAACAAGAAGGCAGGCAGCTCCCTTTTTCAATTAATGTTTACTGAGTAGGACAGACAGGTTAAGTGACCCAGGAGTAAATCCTGCTTATGGAAAAATAGTCTTTATCATAAAAAATGCCAGTAGAATCTTGACTGGCTATAGCACTTTGAATACCTTGTTTTATCTGTTCCCTCAAAGCTGTTCAATCGTATCCATTCTGTGCACAGTGCCAGAAACCCAAAAGCCAAGTACGACAGCATTTACCCTTTGAAAGGTTAACGGCCATGTACAACGTGACCAGATGTGTATTTCCGGCATTTAGGACACATGGATAGGTGAGTTTGCAAGTAATGGAATTATTAAAAAATTTGATTTATGAGACCAGCAGATGGTGTATTGGTTACATCACGGGGCTCCCACATAATTGACCACAGTTTGAGTCCTGGACCCGGTGGCTTAAAACTCACACTGGGGCATGTGTGTGTGCATGCCCAAAATCCGGAGAGGAGAAAGGATTACGGCATGGTCATCCCCCATGGAGGGGTGATTTCTTTCTGTCTCTCTCTCTCTGTCCTAGTGAGTGTACATGTTCTATAGCAAAAATCTCTCACTAAAAACAATTTAGATTTATAATAGTCTCATAATTTAAGAGCAAATTTGTAAAACAGAGTTCATAAGGAAATGTTATTTCACAGGTGACATTCCTTTTTTTTTCTCTCTCTTTAAATATTTATTGTAATTTGAGACCAGGAGTTAGCATAATGGCTATATTGCTGGACTCCTATGTAGTTGACCGTGGTTCAAGTCCTGGA